GTGTGTTTAGAATACGGTAAAGATTTGGTGAAAAAACATTGCATCACTGAGAGATTGGAGAAGCCAGTTGAGGAAAAGGTGGAAATGGTGACAGCTACAAGTGGGTTATTGCAAATTGATCCAAGAAATCAATGCAACTTAACTCCTCCGACACCTTCATTCCAGTGCTCAAAGTAAGATCTTTGTGACTTCTATTGCTCCATCGACTACTCAATTGATACGATTTTCTTATTTCTACTTCTGACAAATGATTTTCTTGTTTTCCTTCTTACTATTGATACCTCTATGCAACTCTAGCCGTGGGAAGAATGCATCTAAATCTTGGTTTACTTCTGGAAGATACCTTTCTTCACCTGAATCTGGTCAAGCTATTTATGGGCTGTCCCCAGCATCTCCTACAAGTTCTAAGAATCATGACATAGACCAGGAAACTACTGGTGATATTATGGATCTTGTTACCTTCGATCAGGAGTTTAATTATGGCAATGCAAAATTAGCAAATGAATTCTCACCAGGGTTTCATGTGACTGGCAATACGGATGATCTTTTGGCGCTACCAAAGTCACAAGATTTGGCAAGTAATACAGGTGGTCAACTGATTCCTCAAACTGTCCATTTCCAATCAACGTGGCCGCTATCCTGGCGTGACTCACCGATAACCCCTATGAACCAATTTGATGGGAGTGGGATGAATGCTCTGGAATTACTAAACTCTGATAAGAAGCCATATGCAATGGAAGATGACACACCCGAAATATTAAAGGACTCTTCTATGCCACAAACTGGTGTGAAAGTAAGCTCCCCAAATAAGAAGCGTATTTCTCCACCTAATCGTCATTTGAATGAGCTTGGTTCTAGCTCATCTGGAGGAGGCTTAAAAACTGGCCGGAAGTTCATATTGCGAGCTGTTCCTTCTTTCCCACCACTCACCCCATGTATCGATTCCAAAGATGTTGCCACCCATAGTGTGGACAATTCTCAAAAGGGTAGCAGCGGCAAGTAACGAATACTACAAAACTGCTAGCTAATGAGCTGGGTTAGTTATTTCGCTGTGTACTTTGACGCGCTGAAACTTGAGCAAAATTCTCACTGGAAGGCTTCTTTCTATGGGCGCATAAGCATCAAACTCATGAAGATTAATTAGTCAGAAAACTAAGTTTGTTTGATAAACGAACAAGAGACACTTCTAAGATATGAACATCCTTGCATGAATAATGTTATCTTAGAGGAAAACCATGGTGCAGCTTGATTTCATAGTCCGCGCTGTGAAGATGGGAGAGAAATCCATAGATTCCTTTGCCTTCATTTAAGGAACTCTATGATCTCCTTTGACATCCTATATTTCAGATAAAAAAATGAACCAAATTTCAGTGTAGTCGCTGCTGCTTATCATGTAGAGGAAATACTCTGTTACTTTGAACTAGAATTCAGGTTCTTTGCTTGGCCTATTTGCTGCCAAGTACAATAATTGCTTTTAGTCGACTCATATATTTGATGGCAAAAGAAGCATTGTTTACAGTTTCCTTCGGTACTACTCCCTCCGTCCCAATATGTGTGAACGTATTTGGATTTACGAAGTCAAACTAGTTGTTATTTGGCCATAATTTTTCATATGCCTTTAAAGTATTTTGAATCATTAATTATTATGACTTATAATACTTATTACATAGTTTATGAATATATAAATTTTATTTTGAAAAATTTCGAAAAATTTTATGTTTAAATATTCTGTCAAAAGTAAGAAGTTTGAATCTCAAAACGTAAAAAGTGTTACAACTTGGGTCAGGGGGAGTACTTAATTTTGTATCTCTTGCTTTTCCATATCTCTTGTCAATGGCCTTTCTTCTTTACCCAAAAGCCGTCATTGGTAGCTTAACCTTTAAATGCATAAGACAACTTTTTTATCTTGGACAGTTTTAAACCATTTTACGACTATAATTTTAATAATTTGCCTCATTCTTTTTAATCTTTGTTGCTTGAGTTCAATTTTTTTTTTGACTCACCGGAACAATTTAGTGATGTACAAATCAAACATCCCAGTTTTTTAAGTTCATATATGTCTAACCAATAGAGCATCTCAAGTTAGGTTCTCTTTTTACTCCTCAACATGAAGGTTACTAGGGCCTTTTTCCCCTTCGGGTAACTTTAAAAAGCGGAAGAAATTCAAAAGGAGATTTTTTTATTCCTCTGCATTTGTTACCCTAAATGTTCATGTTTAGTAAATTACCCTACCTACACAAGTTTTGTTTACAAAATATATACATTCCACTTTAAAAGACTCCCAATCCATTATTAGTGCCTTCAATTAAGAGATTTAATCACACCCTTTTCCTTTTTTTCTCCTCTTCTCTTTCCTTATATTTTCACTCATATATCACAATTCGGTGGATCTTACACAATTTTGTTGGGTGTAAACTTTTTGTTCAATTTTTTACTTTTTATCTTTTGCTCTTCCCTTCAATGAGAGAAGCCATAAACATCAAAACTTAGTAAATATTAGAAACTACTAATACCTATGGAGTGAACAAAATCAGCTGAGAAGGTTAGAAAGGAGCAAAATAACTTGAAGCTTTTGTACCATCAAAATCATAAGCAGTACTTGAAGTACTACTGAGAGGACCTGAAAAGTCAAAACTGTCCCCGACAACTCCTCTCCTATTTTCCTTGAAGCTTTCCCACCTACAAGAACCTATTTGACATAATCTCATGTCCTTATTACTACTCATGTTTAATTTCTTCTGTACTTCCATTTCTCCCCCATGGGTTGTTTGAAACGACGAAAAAGATCGACCGATATAAGGTCCGTCCGGGACCGTCGTAGGCGAGGGCGTATTAGTAATTTTATCTTCATTCAACAACCTAGGTGGCAAGTCTAGGCACCTTGCTACCTTTGACTGATCGCAAATAGATCTAATTGGTTTGCGTGGTGCTTCTTCCCATTGAAATGGGATTGAAACTGAAGGATGAATTGGTGGAGTAGACAGAGGAATATTATTATTTCTTGGCTTGTTTGGGAGTTTGGATAAAGAAAGTTTTGGAGTAGAATTAGAAGCCATTTTACATCATGTAAAATTCTACTAACTTCATAGATGAAAATGGCTTCAGATTCAACCACTTATCTGAAATTGACGCTATTTCTTATTACACAAATACAATTTTATATAATTTTATAAAATATATCTTATGTATATTTTGTATCTTATTTATACATACAACTAATTATATATTATACAACTTATCTACAACTTTCACACATTATTTCTAACCAACTAAGTACAGCTACAATAACATACAACTTAAATACAAAATTTACAATATGTCTTTTGTATATTTTGTATCTGATTTATACAAAGTAAAAATAAATTTCATACAACTAATTATATTATACAACTTATCTACAATTTTCATACATTATTTCTACTAAGTTATATACAACTACAATATCATACAACTTAAATATAATTTTTATACAATGTTGTTCAACTTTCATACAATAGTTAAATAAATAAATAAAATATATATAAACAACAGAATACAATTTTTCTACATTTTTTCTACAATTTTACTATAATTTCGTAAATATAATATATATCATGCCTTCTTCTTCTTCTTCTTCTTCTTCTTCTTCTTCTTCTTCTTCTTCGAGTTTCAATCTAAAATTCAGCCAAAACCAAGTCTAATCTTCACCAAAACCCCTCAAAATTGAGATATAAACTCCAAATCATATTCCAAATTATTTGCAACAACACCCAATCTAAATAAATAATAATTTTTGAAAACCCAAATTCGAATTCAAAGCTTCAAAGCTTTTTAATGGTTGTCAATGGTGGAATTGCTGCTCTCTTTTCCTTTGTTTTACATTACTGAAATTAGGGATTGAGAGATAGAGAGAGACGTAGAGAGAATTCCCAATTCTTTGTAACAACATCCAATTCAAACAAATAATATTTTTTGAAAACCCAAATTCTAATTCAAAGCTTCAAAGCTTTTTAATGGTTGTCAATGATGGAATCGTGGGTGGGTACAAAATACGCGTGGGAGGGGGTGGGACGTGGAGAGAGAAACATGGGGGAATGGAAGATATGTTAGAGTAATTTTAGGACACTAATTATTATCATTAATTACCTTAAAATGTACATAAATAGTAATTGGGTATATAAAATATAATTATAGTAAAACTTGAATAGGAAGGATAATATAATTTCATTAGTATATAGGAATGTAAAAATTCCATTCAAAAATAGCCAGATTTACAAGTGATCATTCAAAAATAGTCACAGTTTCAAAAGTAATCAAAATTTAGCCACTTTTCATGTAAAGATAAATCTGAACGAAAATACTGTTCAAAATCCGGAAAAATATTCCAGCATAATATACTGGAGTTCCAGTATAATATACCGGTCCAGCATAATATATGGAGTTTGGAGCACCGGTGCTCCAATGTACAATATATTATACTGGAGCTAACAAAGTATACCGGTCTAACATAATATGCTGGAAGTTCATACACAGGTGCACTGAACTCCAGTATATTATGCTGGACCGGTCTGTGTTGCAGCAAAATAGTGGTTTCTTCATTGACTTGGTAAACGCTGGCTATTTTTAAATGACCAGTCCGAAGACTGGCTAGACCGTGCTATTCCGAAATTAAAAAAAAATAAACCTTACAAAGTTTTGACCTTTTTTTGTAATGATCCAGCTGTGATAGACCAAAAATAAGGATTCAAATGTTGTTGGTTGGGTTCGATGTTGAATAAGCTCAGGCGAGGGAGTAACTAATTGTCAAATAAACGGCTGCGATTGATTCTCAATAAATGAGCCACAAGGGCTATGATTGTGCCACGTCGGTCAGTGGTTGTTATAAATAACTTGGACAGGAGAGAGAAGGCAATAAATCTCAAAGTTGTTTTCTTTCCTTCTGAATTCTCTCTCACTCGATCTCTACCTTCTCATTCTTCCCCATTTCTGGATCTCTTCTTCTCTTTCTTCTGCAGATCTTCAGTCAGCTATGGAGGATTATCTTGCTCAATAGTTTAGTTAAATTCAGTTTATTTACTTTGTATTTGATATCCATTTTTCCTTATATAAAAACATAAAATTTTCCCAAAAAAACTTTTTAATTTTGCATTTAACCTTATCAACATAATAATACTAAACCCATCTCAAATTTTCCCACATATTAGTGCTTCACCAGCATTACCAACCTTATCAACATAATAATACTAAACCCATCTCAAAAATACGGAAAGAAGTGCATTACTAGTAACTAGTCCAATATAATGAATGGGTACTCATGACACTAATAAACATGACTATGGAGCGATTCTAAGAGTTCATAAAAAAATACGATAACAAAAAATAAACTCTTCGCCCACGCAAACAAGTGTGAGTCTCACCAGGAACTATCACCTTGTGTGCTCTAATTAACGAAATCCTCGCTCGTGTCAGCTGCTGTCTTTATAAAAAAATAGTGGGGAGGGAGTCGCTAACTTAGTGAGTAATAAAACTTAACCACAATCATTTTTAATTGGGGACAAGTCAGAAAACATGCTTGTATATTAAACAGAAAATATTATAAGAATGCCCTTTCCGAAACAATAAACAATAATCAGTCTCATCATGTATTTCCTGTAACAGAAATCAATTTAACATTTCGGTAGTAAACTCGGTAAGCACTGTCTCATATCAAATCTTTATGTTTAGGAGGTTTCCAAGAAAAGATTATGTAATTTGTGTCACTATGTGGACCCCTTTGTAAGAGGAGCCAAATATAATTGCAGGTCCCTACTCGAGGGAAAACAGTAACTGTATGCTAGTTCTACCTTCCCACTAGAGCGGGCTATAATTGCAATCTGTAATCTGTAAATACAAGGTGCATCTGGTCTAATGAACCTACCGTTAGCTATGGAATCATTCCAGGTCTCCTACCATTTATACTTTTCCTTGTAAACAGTAAATATTCATAGGAAAGCATTTTTAATATAGTATAGGGCATTTCAATTCTTATCAAATCATGTAATCCTATTTTAATAATGGTAATCATATCTCAAGTAACAATAAAATATGTCTAGTAGCCGTGAAAACATTTTAAATAAGTGAAAACATCTCAAATAAACTGTTTAGTACCATATCAAGTAAAGGACTTGTCCCACATGCAATTCCAAACATTCGATAACATATTTTATTTTCAAAATTATGTATAAACCATGCAGGTTATGAAAACGTAAATTATGATAAGATTACTACTCATAGTATCGTGCAGGAAAACCAAACACGTCACCTCGAGGACTTCGTTCCACTTCTTCAACTACCTACTTGTAATAAAATCAATCTATGTATTAACTTCGTGAATTACCTTTCAAAATATCCTTTGGAAATTATGGAAAGGACGACTACCATTAGATGATGTTATTCGAAGGATGGGATATTTTATGCCTTCAAGATGCTGGTGCTGTGTTAATCCGGAGGAGGAAACAATGGCTCACGTATTTTTCAACTCATTTGCAGCAAGAAAAGTATGGTCCTAATTCTTCT